GAAGATTAATAGAGGTTTCTCACAGGAGCTGTCATCCATATCTTAACTCCCTGTATTATGCAGCTTAACTGCAGCATTGCTTCCCAAAAAATTACAGCTACATCCCTTCCTTTGCCCCACTTGACATTGCTGGCAATCCCAGGATGAGAGCAGCTAAATGCTACTTGGCTGAGTGCTGCTTTGACAGCCTGGTGGGGAGGCAAAGGCTGGGTCTAACTGGAATTACATGTAGCAGAGTACCATGGCCCACACAGCCATGCAGCAAGACATGTCACAGAGCAGCATGGACGCTGGCAGGACAGGCTGCCTGTGGAGAGCAGCTTTTCCCATTGCTTCCCAGACCCATTTGCCACTTGTGGTGACTTCGAGCCTTTTGCTTTCTCTAAAAAGCTGCTCCAACAAAAGATGACTTTGCTTGTGGAAGGTGCCCACCTCACTGATGGCACCTGGTCTGTTGAGCCATTTCCATAGTAACAAATTCATGATACAGGTGGTGGGATTGGATCAGGGAGTGGAAAGTACAAAATACACCTCGTTAAAATGTGACTGTCTCAGACATGTCTCTGGAAAGCAGCACAGCAGGCACTAGGAAAAGAAAAGGTCACCCAAAAGCCATGCTGAGATAAGTCCTGTTACCTGATGAGATTTTTACTTTCCCAGAGCAGCATTTCTCCCCTGGTTGCTCATCCAGCTGTCTCAGGTGAGCTCTCTGGGAAGCACTGCTCTTCACCTAGGCTGTCTTCTTGCTTCTGCCACCCAAATAAGCTGTGACTCCATTTGTTGCCCACCTTCCTCAAGCCTCTGTGATTTGGCAGACAGTTTGTTGAGAAATGTAATACAGACACAGGGAAAGAGCTGAAAAACTCAGTCAAGCACTCTTCATGATAGAGCTTCTGGTTTTTGTCACCTTTCTCTCCATCCCCAGTCCACAGGTTTCTTTGCTCAGTTTCTTTGTATGGAAAAGCTGCTGTAGCAGCTGTGTTTGGCTTGTAGCTGTGTGTGTCCTGATACAAACGCCAAGCAAACTTCAGACCAGCAGAAAATCCAGTGAACAGGGTGGGCTGTGAGCCAGACAGCAGGTTGGGATTCCTCTTCATCCACCTGATGGCTGTGAGGGTGAGGGTTCATCAGGCAAGTGGTGAGATCCAGCCAGCCAAGCTGGCCTTCACCCTCCCAGAATCAGTGCTGTGGGAGGTCTGGGGCCCACACACCAGGTCCCAGACCTGCCAGCCCAGGTGCTCCTGGTGCAGGCTGGAGACCTGCAGCAGAGGTGCCAGTGGGAACCCTGCTGGCTCTGTTCTTGCTGCACTGGGACAGGGGCTGTGAGACACACTGGTAGGGCTATAGTTTTGCCAGGAGAAAGACTCTTGTGGAGACAATTCAGAATTTCTACACGCACACTCCCTTTTTGCACTTTTTAAACCATTTTTACTCTTTCCACAGGGGTCATTGAACCTTCAGTTTAATAAAGGAAATGAGCTGCCATTGAATAGCTTTCTGAAGGGTCTGAAAGCAGGTGCTACCTGTTGTGCAGAGCTGGTCTGTGCCTAACGTGATTTCCAGACCTCACTGTACAACCTATAGCAGAATCACCCCATGGCAGGGTAAGGACTGGAATGGGAGAGTCGGCACTGGACATCATGCCAAACAGCCATGGCTTCCCAAACTGAAGCAGAATCAGATCAGTAAGTGGGGGAAGGATCAGCAGCAGTAGAAGGATAGCTAGTTGTCACAGGTAATCTTCGGTATCCGTGTCTGGTGGTTAGTGCTAGAATTGCAAGCCTTGTTATATTGCACACACGTCCTTCCACTCCCCTTTTCTCAAAGCAGCCATCACCTTTCCTCCCACCGCCCCATGCACTAGTGATGAGCATCAGAGGCAGTTGCACCAAAGTGATTCTCAGCCCAGTTCTGCATCCCCCTTTCCCACCTGAACCCAAGGCAGTGTGGACAGTCGTTGGCCTGCACCGGTCTAGTAATTCCACTTGGGTTTCTTTCCTTGTGTACCATGGCTTCCTTCCCACACACTCTAGCAGGGCAGTACAGGAGGCTGTGACCGTGTCCCAAGAAGCTTCTTTGCCCCCAGCAGCACCTTGCAGACATGCACCTTACTGGGAATGTACTGGGTTAATGCTGGTGAGATCTGGCACTGCCAGTCTTGCATGGGTGGCAGCTAATAGGGATCCACCTGGGAAAGTTGGCAGAAAGTGGCTACTGTCCCTTTTCTTTTCTTTTTTGAGGGAGAAGGGGATATTTTGGCATTATGATTATTGTCCATCTTCCAGTGGCCAAGTTCTGGACTGCATTAATAATTGGGGTTCATTGGCTGTCCAGGCAGGTGTGGAGCTTTGCACCAACCTTAACAGCAAATGTTGTGGCTGTATCCAGAGCCTGGATACAGGATGAGTTTCTCCCATGCTGGCAAAGTACTTTCAACAGGCTCCAGATGGACATTTCTGGCAGACAGAAAAACAGCACTCCTCCAAGTCTGGATCAAATCTGCACTCCCATTTTGTGTCCTCAGCATGGAAAAAAAACTCAACCTAAGCAAATGCTTTCCAGGTCTCCATTCCCCGTGTGGTGCCTGGCAACCCAGGGGAGGAGGTGTCCAGAGGCATTTCAGGGTCACCAAAAGCAAGATCCTTTTTGGATTTATTTAATGGAAATACATTTCAGGAGGAGAGACCTCCCGACCTTTGTGTTAATCTCAAGAGCAGGAGATGAATTTCTGGCTGTCCTTGCATATAGTGAAACATAGCTGAAACAGCCAAATGCAAATAGAGTTAAATGTAGGGTTTGACCTTAATAACCTTTTAATTAGGAAAATAAATTTGTTGTAGCTTGACCTTAGTCCTTGTTAGGAACCTGCTAATCATTTGACATGCAGAGTGTATTAATGCTGCACTTAACTTGGCCATTGGTTTTATTATCTGGTTTTGGGAGTTTTTTCACTCCCAAAGCATCAATCTGCATCTTGTATGGGTTTTCTTTTTTTTCTTTTTTTCCTGATCAGATCATGTAGCACACTATTGTACTTTTGTTCCCGTCTGTGTAGAGTATTGCCTTAAACAGATCAGTTGTGTTGTGGTTTGTTTTGGGTTTTCTCTTTTCTACCATCAGTTTATGCATTAATTTATTTAAAATGTGGGTGGTTTTTTTTTCAAAAACATGAAACATGTATAATATATTTTTTAACATTTCCATTGCAGTATTTATCATTGTTACTGGTTGTGTGTAGTGTAACGGAATTAATGATATTAAAAAGCATACATATGAAAATGAGCCTGCCAGCCTTTTTTTCATTGGAGAGAACTGAGGCAAGAGGATGTGAGCTGTGCCATCTCCTCTGAGCCTCCAGCAGTCACAGATACTGAAATCAGGGGTGCAGCCTTCATCCCATGGCTAATACCAGCCTGCTTGTGCCCAGAAACAGCAACTGGTGTGGAGCTGTGCTGTATGGCAGAAGTAAATATTTAGGAACTGGCCAGCCCCCCACCCACACTTGTCCCCAAAGCAGTGGGAAGGCACACAAGGCTGGACCCAGCCCCTATATCTGGTCTGCAACAAGCAGAAAGAAACTCTGCATCTGTACAACATCAATGGATGAAATAACGTTTTCTCCAGCCCTTCTGCCCCTCAAAGCTGTTGGCACAGGAGCCAAGCACTGATTTTAGAGCACCAGCAGCTGGAAAACAGATGAACCACCAGGGACAGGGGACAGCCATGGGGTCCAGTGGTTCACGCTGGCATTGAGTCTGGTGTAGGATTAGTCCCCCCACAACTGAGAGGCTTGGACTCCACCTCTCTGCAGAGCAGTGTTCCCCAGACCTGTGTCCTGGGGTGCTTCACCCTTCCCTCACAGCCTCCCACTGATTCCCAGGAGAGGATGGGGCTGATGAAGAGCCTAAACCTCAACAGAGTCCAGTGGGGTGTAAAAATCAGGAGCCACTTGTTTTCTTCATTTCTAACAGCACATTTTCACGTTTGCCTGGAGCCACTGAGGTACCATGGGCTGCCAGACCCCACTGTTGCCAGCAGCAAACCAAGCAGGGTCTGCAGCCCTTCAGGGGCACAGGTTGGCATCCACCCTGCCAAGACAGGCTTGGGTCTGCACCAGTCATCTCCGAAAACACGGCAGCAGAGGAGCTGGAACTGGGAGCAGAGCAGGGCTCTGCGTCAGCACTGCATGACAAGCCAGGCCAGAGCAGGGCTTGGCCTGTCCCTGTCCCTGCAGGGGCAGGGATTCTGCTCAACTCCCCAGCTCCAGGAAAAGCAAACCCAGCGCATGCAAATCCCTCCCTGGCATAATCCAGCTGGCTCTCTGCACTGAGATGGATGAGGATCTCTCACGCTGACTGCAGAGCCCATTACTCAGAATGGAAGAGCAAACAAGCCACACAGGATCACCTAAATCCAGCTTCTAATTAAAAAGGGGAGGCAGAGCAGATCATAATTCCTCTGGCTACCACAGAGGCTGGGGCAGCTGTTCCTGGTGCTGTGCTGTGGGCACTGGCTGCACTGGTGTGGGGCTCTTTGCCTGCAGCTGGATTGATGCAAGATTTCCGAGGAAATAACAGGAGAAAGGGGCTGGAAAAACCACAATCACTTCTGCACCTCCCAAAATAAAATTATCTTGACTAGGACCAGCTGAAACTGTTTCCTACCATTGTTAGGTAGTTGCCTGCAGGAGGGGAGGAAGCTGGGAGCCAGGATGAAACCGGGAGGGTGCAGCCCAGGAGTGATGCAGGCAGAAATTGCTCTGCCCTAGGCTGGAACTGGAGTATAGCTATGGGGCTGACAGAAGGCCACCAAATCCACCTGCTCCCATTCTATGGCATCACCAATCACATAAGCACCACCCCGGGGCTGGCAGAGCAGTGGCACCAGCCCCGTTCCCCTTCCTGTGTGGGCTGCAAGTCCCCAGGCCCACCCCTGTCCCAGCAGGCTGCAGCAACATGTAACTCTTATCCAAAAAACACAAGGCCCCCATCAGCACTTACATCAGCTCCTGCTGCCTGCTGTGCTTTGTCAGAAAGACCATCCAAGAGCAGGCTCCACAGCAGCTCTGGAAAGAGAATAAGTTTGCAATACACATAAATGCTGCAGGAGGAGAAAACTTCAGGGTTTCTACCCCTACCCAACTGCTGCTGCAGGGGGGCGGCACAGGGGGGAATTGCTTCCTGATTAGGAAGCGTTTACAGCTCACGGCCACTGCTTGCCAACTTCTTGTCCCCTGGAGCTCCATCCTGCAGTGGCTTTGGGCTCTCAGGGCTGGCAGTCACCAGGAAGAGCTCTCACACATCAGCCCTGTCCATCAGTAGGTTTTGGAGTGCACAGGTTTGGAAGCAGGATCTGCTGAGGAAAGGGAAACTGAGGCAGGGCTTAGACCAGGGCTGCTGTGTGACATGGTGATGAGGGGGAGGCAGACAGGGTGGCTCTGAGAGCTGCTCCAACACAGCTCTCAGGCTCAGATCAGTTCCGATGAGGGGCCTCCCATGACAGGGGGACCGTGTGAAGGGCTCGGGAAAGATCTGAGCCCCAAAATACCCCTCCCAGCCCTGGTCCTGGAGGAAGAGAGATCCCTGAGCCGAGGTGTCAGTGTGTGTGTGTCTGTGGGACACAGCTTTCCCCACGAGGGCTAAGAAGGTCGCAGGCACTGAGACAAAGCTCGCTGCAAACCGTCTCATCTCCCACAGCCTCGTTAGCATGTGCATTATAATGAGGGAGCGAGCAGAGGGCACAGAGACGGATGTCACTGCTGTGCAGGGACAGAAATGGAGCACGCTACCAACCAGGGCACCCCTCTGCCCCACGAGACCCAGCCCTCTCTGGCCTTGCCAGCTGTAGGACATTGGTTTGGTTGTGTAACTCCCCACCTGTGCTGGCCCCATTCCCAGTGCACTCACTCCCATCTCCCACTAAGGCAAAGTGCCCACATGCCTTTGCCCACCCTGGCTGCAGGGGGTGAGGAGCCAGTGATGCCCAGCCATCCTTCGTCCCCTAGTTTTGGGTGAGCAGGGAGCCTGGAGAGAGGATCATGGTGCTGCAATGAGCCCCAGGCCCACCCGCTGTAAGGGAGGCTTGGTGTCAGATGTACAGCTGCATTTCCAGCATTAGATCCTGCCTGATAATCGGCTTCACCGTGTGTCCCGATGGCCGTGAAGACAGATGCTGCCACATGGCTTGGGTGTCTCTTCCCACTCCCTGCTGTCTGTAGGGATTAACAACGCCCCTGTTACAAAATCCATCGAGCCAAGGTCAGACCAAGCATTTGACAGAGGTGGCAATGCAGGAATACTACAGCAACACCATCACCCTGCTGCTTACTGGCTCAAGAAGTATTGGCTGGGCAGGTCTGAAGGTACTGCTGAGGTGCCAGCTGTCCCCCTGAGTCACACAGGGCACGTCTCCATGGGGTCAGGAGGCTGAGGATGCTGGCAGTGGCTCTGTTTATCCTCCTTTTGCATCCTGTGTCCCACTTCCAGCGGCAAAGGGATGTTCCCTCAGTATCTGCACTTGCAGCTTTGCCATGGCCACCCATCTCCCTCCCTGGACTGAGACTGTTCCTGTCCCAGGGATGTCTGCTGATCCCTAATGTTTTGTCCCCTGGTATCCCATAAATACCCTCTGGTGGTAGGTGCTGCCTTGGGGATACTCTCCAGGAGCCCCATATCCCCCAGAGACAAGGGCTGCACAGGCAGGGACAAGTGGCCAACGATCTGCAAGTGGTGTGTGTCACCTCCATGACAGATCCTTGACAAGAACCTCGGGATCAGCACCCCTGACATGTCCCCTCACCCTGTGGCATTGTCTTTCACAGAGTGGGGGAACAGTTGGGACTCTCTGGACATCCCCCCTTGCCCCAGGACCACAGGGCACCCCTGTCTGTCGCTTTTGCATTACACAGCACAACACAGTTTTTGTCAATAAGGGCAAATACATCACCTGGACAACAGGTCCCTACAACCACATAGCCTGGAATAAGCACTCCTCTCACCTCCCCCTTCTGCCCAAGGTGGAGTCCAGCCCTGCTAGACCCCCCAAACTGGAGCTGCCTCAGGTGCTACCAGCACCTCGAGCTCTGGAGCACAAGGCTGGCATTGCTCCTTGCAGGAGGCGAGGTTGGAGACCTTTCTGCACAGCATGCCCAAGCTGTATCCCCCAAAACCCACCTGCCTAGGATGGGTCAGACTGCAGATGCCAAGGGGTTGCAGGTCCCACCGTGGTGCCCACACAGGCAGCGATGCAGCCCTCACACCTCCATCTCACAGGGTGAGTGAACCTGATCAGGGCAGGCCACTGCAGTGCTGGGCTGTGGAGAATGTTGTTACCACCCGCAGAGAACCAGTTGCCAGATTTACCTGCCAGGACAGATGATGCTATGCCTGGTCTCACCCGGCCATCCTTGGAACTGTACGACCCCTGAAATCCTGCTGACATCCCTGAGCCAGGATGCATGTGGCTTATCATCCTCACAGACCTCATCAGTGTTTCTTGTGCTGCTCTTGTATTTTCTGTTGTCATTGTGTGCTTTACTTATCAAGAACCTGTTCCCTGGTCACGCTGTTCGTTATGCAGTAATTATCCCTGTCCTTCACCCACTGCAGGTCCCAACAAGCACCTTTTAATCCCCACATGTTTACCTTTAGGATGTCTCTGTTGCCAAGGCAGCTTTTTTCAGCCCTGGGGAAGCAGCAAGGGCAGAAGGGAGGCTGCCCAGCCAGCACAGTCATCACTCTGCTACTGCATTAACCCCCCATAGGCCAAAATTAGGTGTGAGGGTTTGCAGAAAACATGTGATTGGCTTTAAATTCCAGAGATCTGAAACTAAAACCAAACAATGAGAATAAACAGGGAGCACTGGGTTTCTCATAGATTTCCCTATGCCTGAGCCTCAGAGAGAAGTTTCTCAAGGTCTCCCTCCACTTAGAAACAGGAGTACTTTCCTGGATTGGCATGGCTCTGGGAAAGAAGATTTTAGGGAAATGACCATAAAAGAGAGAGAGGATGTTTGCAGGGAGGGAGACCTGCTGGAAATGGTCTCCTGGTAATGCCAAGGAGCGTTAGTTTATCTCAGAGGCTTATTCTGCCCCATGGCACTGGTAAAGGGCAAATATGGGCTTCCATTAGAACTGGCTTGCACCAGTTCCCCTCAGACCCTTTCCCACAGGTTGGGGAAGTTCCCGGTAAGGGGGAAGAAACTTCAGCAACTGCTGGCTTGGTGGGCACTTTAAGAACCCTCAGGGTCTGGTACCTTGCCACCACGCACAAGCTGGAGATCAAGAAAGCACACCAGGGAAAGCTCTCAGAGCATAGTAACACAGCCAAAAATAGAAGCAGTCATTGACACCCATGTTTGTCAGCTTCGTGCTGGGCTGCTGAGGACGTGCTTGCTTTTGGCAAGTTATCCAGGAAGAGCTGCCATCCATCTGGGATACTGAGCACAGACACAGGCTAAATAAGGAGGGGGACTTGAAAGCAGCACATAATTAATGAAGGCATGAAATGCCCTTCTCTGACTATGATCTGAGAGCACAGTGCCAGGGGGCAACATCACACAAGTGTTCCGCTGATTATAAACCCACAGCACTGCAGTCCTCACGGTGGGGGGGATGCTCCAGCACAGAGCCATCTGGGAACCCACATTCCAGTGGGGCAGCACGGTTGTCATGCTGTGCCCACACCAAGCAGCACCCCAATCCTTCCGGGGCAGGGAAAACCCCATGAAAACCTCATCCCATGAAAGAGCATCCCGTGAAAAGCATGACCCGGCCCAAAAGCACTCATGCAAAGCCCATCCCAGCCCCAAAGCATCACATGAAGAGCCCAGCACAGCCCAAAAGCATCCCATTAGAACCCCGTCCCAGCCTCAAGGCATCCCATTAAAACCCTGTCCTGGCCCCGAAGCATCTCATAAAAACCCCCCTCCTGACCCAAAAGCATCCTGGCACAGCCCTGCCAGCGCCAAACCCCGAGGTCCCCCATCCCAGCCCCAGGGGTACCCGCATCGTCACGCGTCCCCCGGGCATCCCCAGCGGCTCCATCCCCCCCGGAGCAGCCCCGCCGGGGCCGAACTACATCTCCCATCGGGGAGCGCCGGTCCGGGGGCCGGTCCGGGGCGGGAGCCGGGGCGGGGCGGGGAGCGCCCAACCCCGGAACACCGCGCTCAGCCCCGCGCCCGGAGCCCCCCGGCCCCGCAGACCCGGCCATGGCCCCGCGCCCCCGGTGAGTCCGCGGGTCCCGGGGCTGCCCCCGGGGCGGGTGTGGGGGGCGCAACCCCAGCACGGGGGCTGCGAGGTGGAGGCGGGCGAGGGGGTCCCCCTCCCGCAGACCTCGGGCTGCCGGCGGGAGTGGGGATGGCTCGGGAAGGCCCGCGGGGAGCGAAGGTGGAGAGCTTCGCCCTGACCTTAGGGTGCGAGCCTTTGGCATCCCGCCGTGCCGGGACCGCTCGAGTTCTGTCATGGGTGGGAGTGTCTACCCGCCCGGAGGAGATGAACGGAACTGGGAGACGCGTCCCCAGCTCCAGTCGCCAGGTGCAGCTTCAGCTTTTGCCGCTGGATAGATGCTTGGTAGTGAAAACTTTGCAGATGGGTGTACGCAGCGAATTGTGCCATTTGCCGGGTTGGGTTTGGAGTGGTTTTTGGGACAGCTCCGCTATCACTGGCCGTGGCAAGGAGCAGCCAAAGAGTGTTGGAAAGCACAAATGCTACTCCCTCTTTCCCCCTCCCTTGCCGCCTTGGGATACTCATGATGCACAGCCAGGTGGATGGTGAGGTCTGGGAGTTTGTGTCTGTATGACCGGATCTGCACACGGAGCATGCAAGGGAGCCCCTAAAGGGAATGACAACTGCGTTTGGCCCAAGGTTGTCCCGTCTCATTGACTGTTGGATACAGATGCAAATTCAGGGACCTGAGTCACCAGCCCAGCTCCATTAGCCACCCACAGCTCTCTGGAACTGCCCAGTGCCTGGAGTTTCGTGGTGACTCAATGGCTGGAAAATCGCCGGGGCTGTGCCAGAGGGATGTGCTTATGTTTCCATTTCTCTCCCATATCGTGTTGTAGCGCTTGGGTGTTGGGGTGAGCTCAGGTTTCAGCCTGCTTCAGCATCTGGAATGCTGAGCCCTCCCAAAGTGCTGAATCAGCTCTTTTAAGAAAGAATCTGGGGGGGAGAAACAGGGCACTGGGTCCTGCTGTGGGGTGGTTTGTCTTGGAGGAGGGAGATGAGTAGGAAATGAGATTAACACCCGCTTTGGGGAGAGGCTGTTGGAGTGATGTGGTGTTTGATGGCACATATCGTGTACCAGACAGAATTGGGCTGAGGGACCAAAAGACAGCGGCAAAGACACCAAAATCTTGATGGCTGTGAGTCTTATATAGTACATGTGACAAATGAAATAAGCTAATAATAAACTGATGCCTTGTGTGGAGGTTTCAATGCCTGGCTGCTGGGCCACGTCCTTGCCTGGTGCTGCTCCTTGGTGGGAGTGATGAAATTATTGTAGTTATCAGTCTCGTTTATTTTGGGGGATTGATTTGTATCATCCTGGCATACAGGCAGGTGGAACTTCTTGCATTTGGTGTTTTGCGTTTGCTGCTGTTGGGCATGAGAGCTGATGGCCCCTTAGGTTCCAAGAAGCTGGCTGCTGGGCTCTGGGCTACCCCATGGACTGCAATTTTGGAGCCAGGCTGCCTCCAGCTCCCCCAGGGCCTGTAGGACTTCTCCAAGGTGGACAGAGAGATGTCCTTGAAGGGAGAGCCCTGGAGCTTTCTCTCCTTCACGTCCAATGCACTTTGATACAAGTGGACCAGGACACCTCACTTTGTTTTAAAGTCTCCACAAATCTTTGAGGCTCGGATAAATTCAGGTGCTGTGATGTGCCTCCAGGCAGGGGAAAGCAAGAGCCTCTGGTCATGGTTTAGTCGTAAGATGTCAGCACCAGAAGAGGTGTGCACAGTTAAAGTGAAAAACCGGCTTATTAAACTTCATCTTCCTAATTAACACAGGGTGAAGAACAAAGAAAGACAATGTTGTAAAGGGGGAATTATCAGGGGTGTTAAATATTAAGTCATCTGCTGCCAGAATTGGTTCCCAGTGGCTATTTTGTATTCATGGTCAGACACTGGATGAGGTGTCTAAATGGATTTGGAGCATCACTTGACACTGGAAGCTTTAAAGGACAAAACTGGGTTGTAAAGTCACGATTCCTACAGTGTAGGTGAAAGTATTTAAGGCTGGGTAGAGCTAATGTCACAGCTTCAAATCTCCTGCCTCCTCTTGCAGATGGAGTGAGGTCCTGGCAGCATGTCTGCACTTTGCAGATGAGCTCTGTATTCACGTGGCCCCCTTGGATTCGGGGTTTATCCTCTGGGTGCCCAGTGCTGTTTAATCCTGGCTTACAAACCAGCCGGCAGCAGTGGGACTGCTTGTTTCTTATGGCTCGAGGCAGCCTCATTATCCTGCAGGATCACGACACTGCTTAAAATCGCAGGATTTGGTGGAGAAAAGAAAAACCACCCAAACTGTGTGTTGGGTTGTTTTTTGGTTTTGTTTTTGTTTTTATTATTTTGCTTTCTGATTCTGGAGCTCCTGTGAGTGCAGGAGGGGAATGAGCTTTCACCGGCCCTTCCCGCCCACCTGGCAGGGAGGGGAGATGCCATCCTGGATCGCGGGACTCCGGGAGTGTGTGCCCGTGTGCCCCGGCAGTGCCTGCGGCAGCTCCCCTTGGCCGGGCGCCGCTTCCCTGGCACACCCTGGCCAGAGGGTTGGCTGCTCCCGCATCCGTCACAGTGCCTGAGAGAACACGCCGGTGACGTGCCGGTCCCCTCCTCCTGCTCGTGGACACGGAGCAGCCGGCTCGGAGCCCCGAAACGCGATGGAGAGGACGAATTTGCCGGGGAGGCGGAGGTGTAGCGGTGCTCGGGTTTTATGTGCTTAAAAAGGCATCTGTGGTGGAGCCAGGCGGCAGGCAGGGATCCCCGGGAAGCAGTGGATAGGTAAGTACCCGGGGCACCGTGCCCCCGGCGGGATGAGCTGCCTCCTGGCTGGGCCTGCCCGTATCCAGCAGTCGGGTGCTGTGGGGAATTTGCAACAGCCCCAACAGCAAGGGTCTGTCACTTTGCAGGAGGGGCAGCCAACCCCCTCCCCGCAGCCTCTCCCTGAGCCCCTCAGACCAGGCGGGCTGTCGATCCCTGCTCTGACCACAGCGCGGACGGTGAAGGTGAGGGTCCCCCTCGCTGTCCCTGCTAGGGCAGAGTCGCTGCCCTGGCTCAGGGGCCGGGGGTCTGTGCCACCCCAAGGTGGCTTAAGCATTGCAGAGATAAACCCAGAGCCCTGGGGGGATCCGGTGTGGTATTTGGGAGGATCCACAGGACTCGAGAGGGAATCGGTGCCTCTGATTCATATGGAGCCAGGGTCTGTGGGGAGCAGCCCTGTGCTCCGTGAAGGGGTTTTTGCCAGGTGCCCCCACCTGTCCCACCTACAGCACCAAGCAGGTGGAACAGTGTTTTCACCATATTTGACCCCACAAAGCCCTTCAGAGAACTCCAGTGCTCTGCTGCAGACCCCTCCAAGGCAAATTAAACCCTCAGGAAGGGTTTGCTTGTCCTCCGTCTCAGGTGTGCAAAGTCTCTTTGTCAGGGCTGGTTCCCCACGGGGGGGTTCCAGACTGGGCACGTGGAGGTTTTTTTGCTCACACAGCTTTTTTGCAGAGAAGAAATTTCTCTCCTAATTTGCTATCCTAACTCCCTTCTCCTGTATAGGGTTGGAGGTGCCTCCTGGTGAAAGCTGCAGTGTTTTTGTGCTGTTTCCTTAGCTCGACTCCTGCCAACATGTTTGGGGAGGAGGCGGTAGCACCTTGCATCGGAGGCAAGAGCTTCCTGGCATCCCAGCGTGGGAAATAGGTGTGTGTCCCCAGCACAAGCTTGGCCCCCAGCATGGTTCAGACCTGACCCTTTCAGGGCAGTAGAGACCAGTTGTATGTTATTGACCCTCTTTAAATGAATGTCCTAATTGCAAAGTGGCTGGGGTTAGTGGTGCTGTGGGTCTCGCAGCCCGTGGTTAGCGGCGGTGTTGGTAAAAATAGAAGCGGTCAAAAAATGGATTTTTATTTTTACTCCGTAAAGTGTGTCCTGCTCAGATGTTTTGCTTTCATCTTGGGTTGAGGCAAGACGGCTCGCTGCTTCCACAGAACACAAAGAAAAAGCTTTGTTTTGGGTCAGCTGGGAAGCTCCAGCACAGCAAGCTGCAAACATGCTCTTTGACTTTGACACTCTCCCTCCCCATTTTCTTTTTCTTTTGATTGTTGTTGTTTTTTGCCAGTTTGTGTTTTTTTTTTTGAGTTAAAGGTCACCACAATGTCATCTTGGAGCAAAATAACAAGTTAGCATTCCAAAAAAAAAAATGTTGAAACACGCAGTTCATGAACAACCACCTCTGCAGGCTGCAGCTCGCGAGTGAGAGGTGGAAGGTGTCCCTGGGGAGCCTGGGAGACTTAGCTCTCACCTGGGATGGAGCTGTATCTCCCACTGGAGAACGTGCATTTTGTTAACAAGGCAAAAAAAATATAGGGACTGCACGGGCACAGAGCAGGATTGGGTTTGGAGACCTTTCTGTCCCATCAGTGTGCTGGGTGATGCCCGAAAACATAATTCCAAGTGTCTTTGTTGGAGCAGTCTCCAAGCAGGCAATGTCCATCAGCCCAGGGCAGCCACGGGGTTTGATCCTGGCCCAGCCACAGCAACCAGAGCAGCATTAAATCCACCAGCTCAATCACCCAGCCTTCACATCCCTCTGAGGCAGATCAGTGTCCAAGGGACACAACAGGCTGCAAAATCTTTCTTAAAATAACACATTTATTTCTCTACTGACAGCGGCAGTGATGACTCCCTCATGTATGCCATGAGCTCCAGCCCATGGGGGGTAAAAGAAGGAAACAGCCTAAAAATAGAGCATCTTGGAAGTAGTTCATAAATAATAAACCAGCCTCCTGAAAGGGAGATAAAAATCCAGAAACTCCCTAAAGCCCTGGGTGCTGCTGTCAGTTTTACATGAAATGAGGAGGTGGCTGTCGCCACAGTGGCAGTATCAAACACTTCTTGGGCTTAAAACCCTAAGTGAGAGTTGGAAAGAAAACACCATTTTCCCCTCTTTTTTGTACAGAAAATGTGAAAACTAAAAAAATTACTTTCCCAAATAATTTGCAAGTCCTGCTTGATGGAGGCTGCATTTTATATTTTTCCCCCCCTGAGCTTTGCAGTCCCCAGGTAAGGCAGGACTGAGACAGAGGTGACAGGTATTCACATCTCTCTGTCTCTGGCATCCCAGAAATTCCCAGTGCTGAGAGGGAGGGAGCTTTTTTGGGCTCAGCATACCCATTTGTATTTTCAGAAGCATCCTACCACTTGCGGCTTTGCTCAGCTGTGCTGGTTTTGGCCAAAATCCTTCTGCAAACCTTCCTCCCCGCCATCCCTGGTAAAGCCCTGTGCTGCTTCTGGTTCATCCTAAAGCAAAACAAGAGTTGGGAGAGGAGATGAAGGTTTATCCCAAACACAGCCTCTTTCCACCACCAGCTTCTCCCTGCCTTTATTGCACAATTTTTCCTGGGCTCAGCTGAACTTGCATCACTTTTGCTGGTGGGTGAGAGTCCCACTGCCCTCCTGGGGGCAGGATCCATCGCTGAGTGACACAGTTGGAATGGCTGGAGCTGTCCCCATCCCGTGCGGAGTGTGGGCTCTGTGGGAGTTGGCCATGGGACAAGTCGTTTAACTAAACCTATCACCCTGTTCAGGCTAATCGCTTCCTAATGCCTCCGTAATCCCATTTAAAGCAACTGGCAGTCTAGAAAGTTACTGGCTCCCAGGGGAAGGTTAAAATGACCTGTCTGGCTACACAAAAAGTTCCCCCAACTGCAAGGTCTAGTTCAATACGTGCTTCAAGATGATTAGAAAACATGGAATGTTTTGTTTAGCCTGTGCACAGATGCTGCTGTGGGTTTACACATGGGTGTGCCCGTAGCGGAGCAACAGGGCGTAGGTGGTGCTCAGGACCCCTTTCTGCTTCTCTTTGCTTTTTCTGGGGAGAAAGATCTGTTTGAGGCGCAGAGTGTTCTGGCTTGTCGTGCCTGTGGCAGGGAGAGGGTTCTGTATTTCATTTTGGATCTTTTTCTTCCTTTTTGTTAAGAAAGAAACCAACCCCTTTTGAGGGAGCCTCTGCAACCAGTTTCATCTGTGCCCCAGAAGAGGGCTTTTGCCCTCTGATTTGCCCGCAGCTGGCAGGTTTCCAGCCCCAAAGCCTGGGGAGGAGGCGGTGTGCCGTGTTTGCTGGCACTGGGCAGGGACCAGCCAGCTGGTCTGCAGCTCTGCAGCTCCTTCCCCCTTCCCCTGCTCCTCCTGCAGCTGTGTTTGCTTCTCACTCTCCCGTGTCCTTACTTTACTTTTTCCCCCTGGATCCCAGGCGTTATGCTTGGCGGAGCCCAGCCGGACCATGGCCAAGGAAAAGCCATTAGGCTCTTGGCACAGTCCGCTTCCCCGGGGCCACGCAGGGGAGAGAGAGCTGGAGCTGAAACACAGCCTGGAGCCTTACTGCACAGAGGAAGAGCCCGTTGGAGGTCCTGCACTGCTCACTCCCAGCAAAGTTAGCTTTTCTCCCACGCAGAGCCCTTGTAGAGGTCTGAGCACGTGGCAGAGCCAGCTGCTCTCCTCTGGCTAGGGGCTGCTGGTGTGGTACCTCCCACAGCCATGCTTTGCTGCTTACTGCACCCCCTACATGCCCCCCAAAACCAGCCATGAGCCACTGGTACCCCAGCCCTGTTTGGCTCTCTGGGAGGTGTGGAGAAGCATGGATTTTCCCGCCTTCACTGCAAAGCATCCCCCAGCTGGAGCAGCTAGGACGTGCTGGGGACATACTGGGGACAGGAAGTGGATGGTGCTGCTGATGAGTTGAATTAAATCTGCCAGGGAGGCAGTTTGATTAAAATTAGGAGAGGCTGCCTGGAATTCATTACGTGGTGTCTTTTATGGCACTTAGTTATCCCTGTCTCTTAAAGACACTGTCAGTGGGCTGATCTGGCTCCTTTTCAGCTTCCTTCTACTTCCTCCCAGCCTCCACTCCTGCCTCACTGAAAGGCTCCCAACAAGAAAAGAACATTAATTATGGCAATGATTTAGTCCTTGTTGCCCTGGGGTTGTTCTCGGCATGGGGCCCAGGCTGTTTTCCACATGTGTTGTCTTGCCTGGGGTAATTGGAGATGGTGTCTGGTACTCAGCGTACAGCACCTGGCACGTCACAGTTGGGCAACGGGGGACTGGGGGAGCTGCTCAGACTGAGAGAGCAAATGGATGACATGCTGTCCCTTGATTCAGAGGTTTTTCTGACACTATTTATATCCTCTTCTTTTGCAGAGATGAGTGTCCTGGGAGTCAGTGGAAGTGGGAACTCTCCTAACAGTCCCTTTTTCCTCTGCTGAGAGACCCTGACTTGCTTCCTTCCCACTCCTCTGCAAAAAGCTGTAGAGAAAACAGCACCATGTATACCTTCCTGCCCGAGAACTTCACACCTGTGAAGCAGAAGCCCTCCAAGGAGCTGAGGCCCATGCTCGGGGCCATCTTGCTGGGCCTCATGCTGTTCATCGCCGCGGTGGTGGCCTGGTGCTACTACACGGTGTCCCTGCGGAAGGCGGAGCGGCTCAAGACGGAGCTGATGGACCTGCGGGCGGACGGCTTTGTCATCAGGAACCAGCACGGGGAGGTGGTGTTCCGACTGGCCTTCCGCTCGGGCAGCCTGGACCTGGAGTCGTGCTCCAAGGAGGGCGAGATCCTGAGCTGCACGCGGTCGAGCCGGGGGCCGCTCAACTTCTTCATCCAGACGGTGAAGCCCAAGGACACGGTGATGTGCTACCGCGTGCGCTGGGAGGAGCTGGCGGCCGGCCCGGCGGTGGAGCACACCATGTTCTGGGAGGACGCCCACTGGTACGGGGGCTCGGAGATGAGCACCCAGCACTGGCCCATCCGCCTGGCTGGCTACCAGGAGCCCGTGCCCTACGTCACCAGCGACGTCTACTCCTTCCGCGACAGCTTTGGCGGCATCCTGGAGCGCTACTGGCTCTCCTCCAAGGCGGCGGCCATCAAGATCAACGACTCCGTGCCCTTCCACCTGGGCTTCAACGCCACCGAGCGCGCCCTCTTCTTCCAGGCCCGCTACAAGGACTCGCCCTACAAGCCCCTGCCAGGGCAGCCGCCCTTCCCCGAGCTCAGCTACCGCGTCTGCGTGGGCTCCGACGTCACCTCCATCCACAAGTACATGGTGCGCAGGTACTTCAACAAACCCTCCAAGATCCCTGCCGAGAATGCTTTCCGATACCCCATCTGGTCCACCTGGGCACTCTACAAGAATGACATCGACCAGGATAAACTCTTGCGATTTGCCGAAAAGATCAAGAAGTACCGTTTTAATTGCAGCCACATAGAGATCGATGACATGTACACCCAAGCCTATGGGGACTTTGATTTTGACCCTGTCAAGTTCCCCAATGTTACAGAGATGTTTGCAAAACTGAGGGAAGATGGGTTTAAGGTCACTCTGTGGACTCACCCTTTCATAAACTACAATTCCTCCAATTTTGGTGTGGGGATTGAGCGTCAGCTGTTCATCAAGGAGCCATCGGGGCGTCTGCCAGCCATGGTGGAGTGGTGGAATGGCATTGGGGCCATCCTGGACTTCACCAACCCAGCAGCCCGGGACTGGTTCCAGAGCCACCTGCGCCAGCTCCGGCACAAGTACGGCATCTCCTCCTTCAAGTTTGATGCGGGCGAGACCAGCTACCTGCCCAAGCAGTTCAGCACCTTCCGGCCACTCTCGGACCCCAGCATCTGGTCCCGGCGCTACACGGAGATGGCCATCCCCTTCTACGAGCTGGCCGAGGTGCGGGTGGGCTACCAGTCCCAGAACATCTCCTGCTTCTTCCGCATCATCGACCGCGACTCCGTCTGGGGCTACGAGCTCGGCCTCAAGTCCCTCATCCCCACGGTGCTCACCATCAGCATGCTGGGGTACCCCTTCATATCTGCTGACATGATCGGAGGGAATTTTTTCCCCAATAAGACAAATGGGGCAGTGGAGATCCCCGACCGGGAGCTGTACGTGCGGTGGCTGGAGCTGTCGGCCTTCATGCCCTCCATGCAGTTCTCCATCCCGCCCTGGCTCTACGACAAGGAGGTGGTGGAGATCGCCCAGAAGTTCACGGAGCTCCACGAGTCGCTGGTGGCCCCGCTGCTGCTGGAGCTGGCCGGGGAGGTCACCGACACGGGCGACCCCATCATCCGCCCCATCTGGTGGATCTCACCCCGTGACGAGGCCACTCACAGGATCGACTCCCAGTTCCTCATCGGGGACACCCTCATGGTGGCACCTGTCCTGGAGATGGGCAAGCAGGAGCGGGATGTCTACCTGCCGGCGGGCAAGTGGCGCAGCTACAAGGGGGAGCTGTTTGAGAAGACTCCAGTGCTGCTCACCGACTATCCCGTTGACCTGGACGAAGTTGCCTATTTCCTCTGGGTGTCCTAACAGGCTTCTTCCCCAGCTTTGGAATAACCATGCCTTACCTAGGACTTTCTAACAGATAATAATTCTAATTGCACATTTCATTTGAGCCTGGGGTGGAGGAGGGGAATTATATAGACTTCACTGTTCTTGGGGATAATTTTTTTTTATTTGTGGATTGATCTTGTTTTTTTTAATTTGGGTCAGTTGGGAAATTCTGATTGGATAACAGTAGGCAGGAATTTCTCTGCATAGGTCAGTAAGAAGTTGTCAGTCTGTCTGCAGACACTTAGTAAACCCAATACCTTTTCAGTTCTCAAGGATGTCAAGATGTGGAGGTTGGTTAGTGCCAGTGGTAGCGTTTCTAGTTCTGTGGGAGCACCCGGCACTGGGTATGAGGGTGTGTAGTGTGGGAGGGTTGCTGCAGCACAGCCTGCCATAAGTTTTAAATTATGGCAAATATATTCAAAAGGATATTTTTAAAAGCAGAAAGCAAAATATATATATATATATATATATACACACATATTTTTTTACCCCTTTTGTCTAGTGTGGCACTGGACTAACAGTTGCCTCGTGCTCCTGCTTTCCTGGCTACCAAACAGGCCAGCTTACTCGAGTGGTGTCAATGTGTTTTAATTTTATGGGCTGCTTATTGCCTGCTGGGACAGCCGCATCCCACCTCCTCGCCCTGTACAAGGCTCTTGCCTTCGTATTTTGCCCTGGGCATCAACATTGCCTTTCCTAGAGCGGCGCTGCCCATACCAGCGTGTCCCATTAGTCTTTTTTAAACATTTATGAAACCACTTTGTAACATGATTATCCTGCTGATACCATCCTTTTTTGGTTTTTAAGGACAGATGAGGTTTGTTGCTGGCAGAAGGACTGCCTGGAGCAAAGCCACTCCCAAGCACTAAGTGTGGCGCGTCCCCAGGAACAGCCGGTTCCCGCGAGCAGCACGTGTCTGGGATTGGCGGGGAGGTTTGCTGCTAGCCGGCTTGCCCGTGGGTGGAAAACACCGGCTTTCTGGACTGATGGGTCTGTGCCAGCAGGTGTTCTCACTGCGCCCACGGAAACGTTCTCATCTGAGGTGAAATTAAACCAATACCTGCCTAAGGTCGCGGTTAGAGGTGATGACTTCGGTGAGGGTTTTTCTGAGTCAGCCCTCTTCTCTCTCTAGGAGAGTCCTAAGGACCCTAAGGGTCTTCCTCAGGCAGCTGGAGGTGGGATTGCTGTCAGAGGCTTCTGGAGGGGACACGGGGTGATGTGATCCAAAGTCCCCTGCAGCTGCAGAGATGACTCTTTCACAGATTCCCCATTTACAGATGCATTTACAGAGACTCAAGACAGAGGAAGCAGGATTGAAGTCTGGCAGCCTTCCTCCCTAAGGCAGGACATTCCCGGCTGTGCCCTGGTTTGGGAACGCGTGTCAGCCCCTGAATTTTTAATGAGTTTCTACAGAAGCAATTGAACTGCAATTGCTGGGAAGGGTTGGGGCACCAGCCAAGGACAGCTCAGTATCCTTGGGGCTTCTCCTAGGATTGTGTCTGGGCTGAACATGGGTCCAGCATGAGTCTGCCACTGAGGGAGATGGTTCGTGTTTTGGTTAGGGTTGAGTACCAGTGAGGATCTTTCTCTAAGTCCGTCTCCTACCACTGGGCTTTACAGGAGACAGGAAAAGAGATGCACTAAACCTGGGGGTTGTGGTGGGATCCAGGAGGAGAAATTTAGGTGTTAGGGGCAAAATCTGAATCTAGTTATATAGTTAGGAAGGGAGGAAGTCTGGTTTGAAGGACTCTTTGGAACATCCCTTAAGATCTGCATCTGCCCTGCATAATTTGGTGTTTCAGCCTCAAAATGAGATGTAAGGGGAGCCTTATAGGTCCTTGCCCAGCTGGAGCACAAGTATGTTCCAAAGCCCATTTCTCAGGCTTGTAATTCTGAAGGACTCAAGCTTGTTCCTCACCACTAGTGCAAAGAGTGATTACAGCACCAGTTACAGATTCCTTCTGGCAAGGAGTTAATTCCGGAATCTCAGCATCATTCATCAGGGCACTAGCAGGACCTGGGCCTTGCTTGGAGGGTGGAGGTGAAGGTAAGAATCTCCTGGAGATGAGTCTGGCCAAAGCCTACAGGGAGGACAGGGTATGGAGAGACCTCCAGAAATTCATGAAGGTCATGCCTTGATAGGCTCCAGCTCTTCCCTTTCAACCTGTGCTCATGAAATACTTGTCGTCCCTTGGCGTGGGAGTCATTAGGTGGAGGAGATGTTGCTGCACAGCTCAGCTGCCAATGCAAAAGTGATCCTTGGCATAGGACTTCATGGGAAGGATCCCAGGAGATATTGCATGTCTTCTCTTCCCCTGTTTCTGTTCCACTCACCACATCCCTCACTAGTAAGGGATGAGACTGTGTGAAGAGAAACACAGCGTTCCTCTTAGCATCCCTCTGCTGTTAAAATGATGGGAGCAGCCAGATGAGTGCCTTCAATCTCCTTTCAGTGGTTTCGGGCACTGTCAGGGAGGTCAGGGAGGAAATTCTCCATTAGACACACTGTCTTCTTTCCCCTCCCCTCAAAAGAAAGGCTTTTATTAACAAAGTTTTAATTTTCTTTTTATTTAACTCTATCATAAATGGGTAAGATTATACAGTACCCTTTTTTTTCTAAATGCTGTATGGCTATTCAGGACTCCAGCAAGAGGAAGGGTAAAGCTGCTGAGAGGATGTAAGGGCTGGTGTTGGGGGTAGACTCAGCAGTGCTGCCTTAAGGTGTCTCAGGCTTCTAGGTGCCCTTTCCATCCAACTTTTTACCAAAACCACTACTTCTAACACTATGCTGTAGCACTGCAGGACTTGAGGATCTCTCGAACCTTGCAGACCACAGGCTCTGCACAGACACCTTGAGAACTGCTGGTAGGGGGATTTCTCTGATTTACACCATGAGTCACTGGCCAAAGCAGGAATTAGCTTGTCTCAGCCAAGGAAAAGCCCCAAAACAGGTTTGGGAGTTGGACTCAGCCTTTCCACACGCGATGCTCATGTGATGGAAGTTTGAAGCTTGCACTGTTGTGTATCAGGTTTCCTGGGTGCTTGTGTTTGCACATGCTGTCCTACATCAGACTGTAATGCTGGTGGGTCTGTTTTTAACCACTTTTGTAATTCTTAATTGGTATGAACTGTAACATGAATCACCCTGATTGAGATAAAATTTTGGAAAACAAAAAGAAGTTTAACTATGTTTATCTTGACCAAGTTGCTTCAGCTGGTGGTTCAGGGGTATCTGGGGCTTTTTTTACCCTTGTTGTCACTGAAATCACGGTTGAGATTTTGTCGTTTTAATTAAAGCTGGCAGCCTGCAGCTTTGGTGTACTTTTAAAAGGAGGAGCTGGCAGTCACCCCGCCGTTGTGTTTGCAGTGGTGGCAGACGATCCCACTGGATCAAGGATTGCTCTCCCTTAGGTCCTGACAGCAGGGAAAATAGCTGTGCCTTCGGGCTGGCCTGGAAAAGACCACGTCCAGGGAAACCCCAATGTTGTGTCAACCCCAGGGGCGAGGCCCATACTGTCGTGCCCCTGTTTTTACTGATATCCACCCAAAAAGGGCTAATCAACACTGACTCGGGGGGGTTTACTAGTCCACACTGTTCTCAGAGAACACATACTTTGGGACTGTTTGCAGGAAATGAAGAAGAGGAGCCTGCCCTCAGCTCCCCTCGGGCACTCCAGAAGGTCCTTCTGGGCCCTGGCTGTCCCCACTGCCCAGGGTTCCCTTTTCCAGATGGCACTGACAGCAAGGACAGGGATGGACTAGATATTTGTGGCTGTGAAAGTCCCAGGAATGGAGCATGTGAAGCTCATTTAGGAGCCTGCCTTGCCCCACACCATCCCCCTTTGCCCCACATAATGTTTTTCCTTCCCTTTCCATTGCTAACTGCACAAACCACAGCTGCCTTGTGCCATCAAGCATCAGTAGCCCTGGCCAACACATTCAGCATGGCTTGAGAAATGAGAGGAACTTCAGTTCACTCCTTTTGCAATAAAAGACATTTTCCCAATGCTGTTCCTTTGACTTCTTCCTTGGATGCGAGTGGCATCCATACACTTGGCTGATGATTACACGGAGGGTGAAGCTGGCCCTGCTGAAGACCTTGGCAACTTACAGCAGTCACAGCCTTGCAGCAGATCCTCAATAATGCAGAGGTCCTCCTTGGAATCAGTGCTTTAGGTTTAGGTTTGGTTTGCATCCTCCCAAAAACAGGTGTTGTGTGTAGAGGGGGTGTCTGAGGCTTGTTGGGGATATGGGGACAGCAAGTGGAGACAGCTCTGTGCTGCATCCCAGCTAAAGTGGCAGTGCTTGAAAACACATCCACAGCTGTGTATTGCACAGGGGGGAGTGCTTATGGCAAAGTCCAATCACCACTGGGGCTACAGCAAAAGCCCAGTTCATAACTGGATTTCAAGGAGGTGCCTATGGGTGACAGCAGAGCAGTGGGTGCTGACCCATGAGATCCTAGCTGTGAGCATGTCCATGCTGCTCAAAATAACAGCTTTTATTAAAAGTAAGAAAAAAACAACACGCAGGCAGACCCCAGGGCTAGGGAGGACCGTGGTAAAAGGACAAACTGACGGCAGCAGAGACCTTTAGGGCATGTGGCCAGGCTGGCAGCTCAGGAAAAAAACAACCTCCTCAGCTTGTCCGGAGCCTGGTGGGAGCTGCCAGCCTGTAGATGCCTTGTGCCAGGAGAGTCATAAAAGATGGTCTGGGCTGATGCAAAATCCCAGAGGCCAAGTAGAGAAACACAGAGATTTTTATTTATTTTATTATTTTGCCAGGAGGGCTAGGTGGTTTTTATCTCAGTGATCATCAAAGATTAAGGGCAATAAACTGCCCCTGCCAAAAAATAGGCAAACTGGGGTGAGCCATGTGCCGGCAAACTGGGGTGAGCCATGTGCCGGGGCAGAGTCCCATGTCACCAGCACCTCCAGCAAAGAGCTCTTGCTCAGCACTGGGAGTGCAAGAAACCAATCAAGACTGAAGCTTAGCAAGGCAAACAAGATGTTCCTCTGTCAGCACACAGCCCTGGTGCTGCAGGAGGGTGTCGAGAGGTGGCTGTGGTGCCACCTGCTTGCAGGATGTTTCCAGCACCCATCCCCCATGGCTCCCTGTGACTTGTCTGGGCAGCAGGGAAAAGCACTGGGGGAAAGACTGGAAAGGGATGGGGGAGGCATTTTTGCAGCCATGGTACCAGGCATCTTATGTCATCCCCAGAGTTTGCAGAAAGCCTCAGTGATGCCTATTTTTTCCACCCAGCCTGTGATGCAGGTGGGTGGCAGAGCTGTGTGTGCATACAGAACACACTGATTACACAGGCAGAGGTGCCATATGAGGGGGCTGGAGTCTGGCTCTCCCACCTCTCCTCAGCATCGAGGGCATCAGCTTTGCAGAAAGCTTTTTTTTTTTGGTGCAGCAACAACAGCCAGAGGAATTTTGCTGGGCCCCTCCAGGACCCTCTGGTTCCCTCAAGCTCATAAGTCAGGGACCCCTTGGGGCTTCAAAGCAGCAACAGAGAAGCATTCAGAAACACTTTCTCAACCTCAGGGGAGATGCATTCCTTGGAAACTGCTATCCTGGAGTAGAAGAAAGCCTACGGTAAGGATTCAGAGATATCCTGTTAACTCTGAACACAACTGGCAGACTGAGCATTGCCTTCCCTTTCACATCCCTGGATTAAAGTGGGGTTGTCCCTCCCCTCAGCCACATCAGCAATAGCATTACTGCAGCTTCAGCTGCTTTCAGGGGCATCTAGAAGATGTTCTGGCATTGCTCTTGTGCCGCTGCGCCCAAGCAGGGTCCTCTCGGTACAATGGACCCCCCGATGGGTAACAGGAGTCTGGGCCAGTCTGGGGGCTGCTTCACCTGGACAGCAAACCAGCCCTGGAGTGAGTGCCATGTTCTCCAGCCCCTGTTTACCTTTTGTATGGATCAGCTCTGGGACAAACCCCTAAAGAAGGGAGATTTCTCCTGTCCTGGGGCCACACAAGAGCTTTACCTCCCAGTTACCTACAAGCAGTGTGCCGGGGTCAGCAAAGGGATCTGTCTCTCATTTTGGGAAGGCACATTGCAGCCCAGAGACTCCTGGACTCTCCCAAACTGCTCAGACATGTCACCTTTAAGCTTCTGTTTGCTTAAAAACAGCAGGGAAGGTTGGACCAAGAGTGGAGAGCATTTTACAGACAGCCTGCCTACCACAAGCCTTCAGGAGCTGCTGACACACCTTCACTCAGGAGAAGTCACCTGTATGGGCCGAATACCAGCTCATGGACAGGGATCTCCATTAGCACAGGGTGGGAGAACATTTTCAATGGGGAAACTGAGGCAGCAGGGCACTCAGGCTGGTTTGTTAATTCTCTGAACTCTCTGGAGGTCAAGTTCTCCCCTGGGACCTGACAGATTGCACGCTTTGGCTCTAAACATGGTCCCAAAACACACATGGATCCTATCAAGTCTAAACCCTGACTTGGTGCTATGTATTAATCTTTAGTACCATGATATTTCACTACATTTACAGGCTTACCTGAATCCACACTATGGACATGATTCTCAGTAATTCACAAAAGGGGGAAAACAGTTGCCACAGCATATAGCAAGTGCCGTAGCTTTCTTCTCCTTGCTCAGATAGCTCAGGCCATGGGAAGTGTAAACTCCTCTTCATGCCTGCATCAGCTCCCATCTGTTGTGCAGGCTGCAGTTTGGGTGCCTTCCTCTTCAGGATAACCACAGACAGCTTTTTGTAAAAAAAAAAAGCAATTTGCTGCAGCTGCCTCCTTCACTAAGCACATGAAATTTTAAATACCTCAGGGGATCAGCTGTGCAACTGGGTAACAAAGAAGTCCATGTAATTTCCTTTATAAACAAGAAGCGTGCATGGCATTTCTTGGTGGGAAAAGATTATGAGTAGAGACTGTGTTTCTATACATTGCACTTGTCACACTGCAATAACAAAGACACTCATCCAATGTATATTAATTAGTTATGGAGCACCACTTGCTCCATAAAAAAACAGAAGTCTCAGTGTTTTCTTCAAATTTCATAATGAAGTGTTTCTACGTAAAAAACTATACCAATTCCCAGGTCATTAAAGCTGTTGGGTAATTAATCGCTGAGTTCATTGCACACTGATGAGGACCATGTTAGGAGATCCGGAGGAAATAGGCAACTTCGTCCAGGTCAACGGGATAGTCGGTGAGCAGCACTGGGGTCTTCTCAAACAGCTCCCCCTTGTAGCTGCGCCACTTGCCCGCCGGCAGGTAGACATCCCGCTCCTGCTTGCCCATCTCCAGGACAGGTGCCACCATGAGGGTGTCCCCGATGAGGAACTGGGAGTCGATCCTGTGAGTGGCCTCGTCACAGGGTGAGATCCACCAGATGGGGCGGATGATGGGGTCGCCAGTGTCGGTGACCTCCCCGGCCAGCTCCAGCAGCAGCGGGGCCACCAGCGACTCGTGGAGCTCCGTGAACTTCTGGGCGATCTCCACCACCTCCTTGTCGTAGAGCCAGGGCGGGATGGAGAACTGCATGGAGGGCATGAAGGCCGACAGCTCCAGCCACCGCACGTACAGCTCCCGGTCGGGGATCTCCACTGCCCCCTCTGTTTTGTTGGGGAGGAAGTTCCCTCCGATCATGTCTGGCAGCACGAATGGGTACCCCAGCATGCTGATGGTGAGCACCGTGGGGATGAGGGACTTGAGGCCGAGCTCGTAGCCCCAGACGGAGTCGCGGTCGATGATGCGGAAGAAGCAGGAGATGTTCTGGGACTGGTAGCCCACCCGCACCTCGGCCAGCTCATAGAAGGGGATGGCCATCTCCGTGTAGCGCCGGGACCAGATGCTGGGGTCTGAGAGCGGCCGGAAGGTGCTGAACTGCTTGGGCAGGTAGCTGGTCTCGCCCGCATCAAACTTGAAGGAGGAGATGCCGTACTTGTGCCGGAGCTGGCGCAGGTGGCTCTGGAACCAGTCCTGGGCTGCTGGGTTGGTGAAGTCCAGGATGGCCCCAATGCCATTCCACCACTTCACCATGGCTGGCAGACGCCCCGATGGCTCCTTGATGAACAGCTGACGCTCAATCCCCACACCAAAATTGGAGGAATCTGTGTGTATAAAGGGATGGATCCACAGAGTGACCTTACACCCATCTTCCCTCAGTTTTGCAAACATCTCTGTCACAT